CAGCTGAGGTTCCCTGATGGCTGAGAGGACCCCAAGGGAATGTGCAGACATGCTACATAAAGACAGATGCCTCCCTAACTGAACAGATACTGCTGCTGCCCTGCAACATCGCCGATGACTCCTTGTCCTTTCGGTGTCATCGGCTCCCCTTCTAGCAGGAATTGGGTACGTTGGCAGGTTTCACTATCTTTAACATGTGAAGTGAAGGGGAAAGGCTGCAAACTGTTTCCTTTTGCAGATGTTCTGTGCAGCGGCAGAGGACTCAGCTGGGCTGTTGGGGTGACTCAGTGATGGGGCTGAAGGGCAGGAAGCACTAGGTAGCTTCAGAACTCCTCCTCTACATCTGCCCATGCTCCACGCTGGGTTATTCAGGCTATTGAAAAATCTCACATTGAAAGCAACTTTGAAACATTACAACTCTGATGCCCCTAGTCAGGATTTCTCAAGGGCTCCCATTTCTAGAGGTGCCGTGTACTCTGGGCCCAATCCTACCAGGGGCTGAGTGAGAGGAAACCACAGGGAATGTCAGTGACTAGTTCCCAAATCGCCTCAGATTTATTTGCTCCTGGAAATTTAATCAGCAAATGTATTTCCAGTGATTTTCTTCTCCAGCTTAATTGTGAATGCAGGAGTTCAGAGCTGCGTTGCTCTGTCTTAACAGATTCGATGAGGCAAATTTCTGTTTTCTGACTGGCTGAGGGCTCCAGCACGTCTACCTTGTAGATACCCCTCACAGTTATGGGTCTACCAGCATCTCTGCCCCCCTCTCTGGTCTCCAAGTGCCAGAGGTCAGGCCCCGTACCCTGCCCTCTCATGGCTCATTGAGATCTGTGCATAACTATAGGGATCCAGGGACACTGGGTCCCCTTTTTATTCCTCCAGGCAGCTGAGGTTCCCTCATGGCTGAGTGAACCCCAAGGGAATGTGCAGACATGCTTCATAAAGACAGTTGCCTTCCTATCTGAACAGATACTGCCTGCTGCCCGTATCATCTCTGATGACTCCTTGTCCTTTAGGGTGAAGATCTCTGGTGTCAGCGACTCCCCTTCTAGCAGGAATTGGGTATGTTGGCAGGTTTCACTATGTTTAAAATGTAAAGTGAAGGGGAAAGGCTGTGTTGTTCCCAGATTCTATGGAGAGAGAGGAAGTTCCATTTCCATGAACACTCATGTATTTGACTTTAAAATCCACTTCCTGCAAACCCTCATCATGCCTGAATAACAGGTGCTGGTGTTACTATATACTACAGAGTGAGAGCTCAGGGAATGAATATTTTCTATACTGACCCTAATGCCTGTTACCACTCCGGATACAGGCAGCAGTCTGACAGAACAGAACCTGAGGGGAACCAGTCAGCTATTAACTCAGGGAAAGAGGAGCTACTAAACTTTTGTTTGCCAAAAAGCGACTGCATGAGGGCTGAGACAAATATACAAATATTACAAACCAAACTTTCATGAGGTGTATTGAAAGCCAGCAGCAGAGTTGGAATCTCTATAGGAAGGAGCAATGGTAACTTTATTGCGTAATGCTTTTGGCTTTAGAAAGTATGTCAAAACTACTCCTTATACTGTTTGCAATGGGTTTCTGCTATTAACTCTTTGTACAGTGAACTGTTGTATGATACTGTCTCCCGGTAACTGACCAGAAGCTGTTTCTAACACTTACATTCAGGGTCATGAACACAAACATTCGGCAATACATGTAAAAGACTTTCCAAAAGGTCATGAGAGAACAGAACCGCTGGTCTGTGTTTCAGCAGTGTAGACCTCAGGTGCAGGAAATGGGAGTGCAATTTTGGTTTAAGTAATTTATGCCAATCATCATGAGCATGGCTGAAGTTACTTGCACACACACCTGGACATTAGTGCAACACCAGTGTTTGAAGTATTCACCCATTTCTGATGCCAACACCTCCCCCACCCAGCTGAAGTAACTGTCTCTGTTAGCATGTAATTTGCCTGATATCTACAGACGCTTGCATGGGGGAAAAGATGCAGGTCCTGGGAGGATGGAGAGAAGCCAGTAGGATGATTGAACTCTCTGGATTCCATCAACACTGGCTAGTTAAAGCACTTCAGCTTCTCTTGGAGGAATTCTTGGGGGTCAGAGTGTATCATTGGGGGCGTTTGGTAAAGGAAAGTTAATGGAGCCTTTTTCTGATTGAATTTATGCATGTGAATCTGGAGTTACACTGTTGAAGTCAATGTTATTGAATTAAGCACCTGGCCCTAAGAATTTATCCCAATATAATGCAAAGGGGCAAGTGGCAGAATTTAAACTATCAGGAGTGGAGAAAATCAAAATATGTTTAATGAAACAATGAAACACATTTATAAATAGCTTGAATGCAGGACACAAAAATACCATTTTCACCATGCACTTGCCATGCGTTTACCCACATCTCATGATACAAAGGGCCACACTCGGAAAGTGGAAGGCCAGAAAACGAGTCTGTCTGAAGGTCACATTTGTAAAATCACATAGTGCTCAAGTAGTCTGTGGAACTCACAGTCAAATCTAATTACAGCAGCGAGGATTTTTTTTTAAAAAAGTCTTGGAAGGGCTCTAAGCCTTCCTGACTTACACCACAAATAATGTCTAAGTATTGGTTCTCGGGAGGGGGGGGGACTTTCCCTTAGAGCAGGTTATCTCATAGCTCCCAATTGCAGGGCTTCTTCCACCTTCATCTGAAGCATCTGGAACTGGCCACTGGATACTGGGCTAGATGAATGACAGGTTTGATCCCGTCTGAAAAGGCCTATTTTCCTAGCAATGCTGTTCTTGCTGATATTTTTTGAGCTCCTGCGAGTCGCTAGACCTGCACAGAGAGCAGAAATATGTCTCGTTAAACATCACGTAATCTCCTTTTTTTTCCTTTCAGGAAGGAAAGTTGAAAACTCCTTGGACTTGCCCAGCACATTATGTCAGCTGTCAATGACACCAAATTAAATTCTGTTGTGTTCCTTCTCACCGGGATACCTGGGCAGGAAGACGTCCGTCTCTGGATCTCTATCCCCTTCTGCTTAGTGTATGTTATTTCAATATTAGGAAATTCAGTCATTCTGTTCATTATAAAAACAGATCCAAGCCTCCATGAGCCCATGTACATTTTCCTTTCCATGTTGGCCGTCACAGCCCTTGGCATATCAATAGCCACCATACCAACGATATTGGGTGTATTCTTGTTTAACTCTAGGAAGATCAGCCTCGATGCCTGTTTAGCCCAGCTGTTCTTCATCCCCTTGCTTCAATGCACTGAATCCTTCATCCTCCTGTTGATGGCCTTTGACCGCTTCATCGCGATCCGTAACCCACTGAGATATGCTTCCATCTTAACCCTGCCGAGAGTAGCCAAGATGGGACTGGTGGCTGTGATAAGAGCGATGGTCATAATACTTCCACTTCCCTTTCTCCTGAAGCGGTTCCAATACTGTCGAGCCAATGTCCTATCCCATTCCTACTGTGTGCACCGGGAGGTCATGAACATGGCTTGTTCGGACATCACAGTCAACAGCATCTATGGATTGTTTACTAAACTCTTAACAATGGGGTTGGACTCGCTCCTCATCTTCCTCTCTTATGTGATGATCCTCAAAACAGTGCTGAGCATCGCGTCCCACGAGGAGTGCCTGAGGGCCCTGAACACCTGCATCTCCCACCTCTGTGCCATCCTGCTTTTCTATACACCAGACCTCGGCCTGGCTATAATACACAGATTTGCAAATAGCTCTTCCCCCTTGCTTCGTATTATCCTGAGCTACATCTCCCTTCTGGTCCCGCCTCTCATGAACCCAATTGTGTACAGCGTGAAAAGCAAACACCTTCGTGCAAGGATAATCAGAGTGTTCATCAAGTAAAAGTTCAGTTCATCACCCAGCTCCAGTGCTAGTGACATGGGAGACGAAAAACATGGGCCTCTTATTCCATCCTGCACCCTTACATCTGAGATGACATGAGCTACTGATCTCCTCGCTGTAGAGAGAGGTTTTCACATGGTCCAAGGCCTGGAGCAATGGGAGAGCGGCTGGTGAGGGAGGACAGTGAACTGGGGGAAGGAGACCAAGGCAGGCAGCAGCATTTAAAATGTGACTATGTTCATGGAGAGACAGGGGACTGGTGAGATGTTGGCCCATAAGGAGCCATATTGGTGGCTGCTCCAACCTCAGAATTTCTCTTGAGACAGTCAATAAAGAGAAGTGTGAGTGAGATTCTGACACGAGTAATGGCAAGAGATTTAGGCCCAGGTTCCCACCCTGGCACCTCCGTTTGTGCTTCCCGAGTGGCTTGCAAAGGGGTGGAAACAATCCTCAGCTCCCCCACACAAGCACAGCTAGCTCCAGCCCAGCCCATTCACTGTAGGTGACCATCTTTTCAAAAGGCAAAAGTGGGACACACACAGGAGCTCCATCCCCTGGGTGACCCTGCCACTGCCCCTCTTCTTCCTATTTGTTGCCCCAGCCACTACTCCTCCTCTTCCCCCAAGGCTCCACCCCGCTCTCCATGGCAGAAGCCAGAGCCGGGTCATGGTAAGAGCTGCCCAGGGAGCCAGTGCCACTGTGAGTAGCCCCAGACCCTCCTCCTGCCCTGGCCTAGGGCTTGGGTCCCAAGAGAAGCCCCCAACCTATATCCCCACCCCCCCAAATGTAGAACCCAAGGAATGTGGAGAGTGTGGGGTTCCCCACAGCAGCCTGGGCTCCTAGGACAGCTGTTAGGCCTGGCTCCTGGCTGCCTAGGGGATAGAGCCTCAGGGAAAGAGAAGCAGCGGGGGTTGCATCAAGCCTGAACCAAGTCCTCTCATGGATCACTAACTGGTTAAAGGATAGGAAACAAAGGGTATGAATAAATGGTCAGTTTTCAGAATGGAGAGAGGTAAATAGTGGTGCCCCCAGTGGTCTGTAGTAGGACCAGTGCTGTTCAAGATATTGGAGACACTGTATGGATTTTGGGGGGAGGGGGGCACTTTAGGATATTATGAATACTAGTATTTTAAAATTGCAATGAATTGTGACAGATCTGCCATGTAAGGTATCTGCAGTAATGTTATAATTAGCCTGATAGGATCATCTCATGTATGTGTTCGTATCACCTCTGCATTGTAAGTTATAGGTTTTGTCACCGAAATATCGGGTCCCCCTAGCTGAGAGCCAATAACAGCCAGACAGGGATAAGGAAGAGTTGCTTTATTCTGCAGAAGAAAGGAGACCTTTGCACCTGAGTACAAAAACTCTGTCTTGCACACATTTTACAGATCCTTTATATACATTCAGACAAAGGCCCTTGCCGTGTTAACGCTTGATTGGTGGTTGCCAGACCCATGCTTCTGCTATCTGGTCAGTGAAAACCGTCTTGGGACCAGCTCTAACTACCTTAAGGCCTTGAAAGGGAAGACAGTTGAAAAGTTCAGGCTGGCTACTGTGTACTTGAAGTGTCTGTTTCCCCCTAATGCCCGCTGGCTGACATAATGGTTACTAGCTGTTGGGGGGGGTCACTGCTGACTTTCACAGTCCCCCCTTCGGGCCTGACAAACCCCAAAATTGTCAGGCCCATTATGCAATTTGCGATCAACCTGGAGGGACAGATACTGGGTTTTCTTATGGACAGCAGAGCTTTTGATTATAGCATTATAAGGCATTTGGCACATTGTATCATTATCCAAATAACACATAGAAAGAAAAGAAAGAAAAAATTCCATTTAGCAATTGTTCGAAAGAGCCCCGTAAACCATGACCCAAGGTCTGGAAGGAGGGCCTTAAAACTAAAAGTGATCAAGAGATACAGCACGGAAAACAACAGCAGCATTCTTAATGGCTTGTAAATCCTGCTCAATTAAGCTGGAATGATTAACATAGAAACAACATTTTCTTGTTGATGGCCTCTGACCGCTTGGTCGTGAACTCTAACCCACTGAGATATGCTTCCATCTTAACTCTTCCGAGAATAGCCAAGATGGGACTGGTGTTTGTGTTAAGAGGGTTTGTCCTAACATTCTCACTCCCCTTTCTCTTGAAGCGGTTCCGATACTGTCGAGCCAATGTTCTCTCCCATTCCTACTGCCTGAACCAGGAGGTCATGAAGCTGGCTTGTTCAGATATCACAATCAACAGTATCTATGGCTTGTTTATTAGACTTTTAATGGTGGGGTTGAACTCGTTACTCTTCTTCCTCTCTTATGTGATGATCCTCAAAACAGTGCTGAAAGTCACATCCCCCCCAGAGTGCCTGAGGGCCCTGAACACCTGCGTCTCACACCTCTGTGCAGTTGTGCTCTTTTACACACCAGAGATCGGCTTGTCTCTGTTACACAGATTTGGGAAGGGCTCTCCTCCATTGCTTCAGATTCTCCTGGGCAACATCTACCTGCTGGTCCCACCTCTGATGAATCCAATTGTGTATAGCGTAAAAAGCAAACACCTTCATGCAAGGATAATCAGGGTGTTTGTCAAGTGATGGGTTAGTTCATCACCCGGGGCCAGCACTGGTTACATGGCAGATGAAAACCAGGGGCCACCTATTCCATCCTGTACCCTTACATCCAAGATGACATAAGCAATTGATCTCCACTCCGTAGACAGAGGCTCAGGCAGGATCTAAGGCCTGGAATAATGGGATAGGTGCTGTTCCTGCTTCCTGGTGAGGGAGGACAGTGCACTGGGGGAAGTTGACCAAGGCAGACAGCAGCATTTACAAAATTACTATGTTCCTGGAGTGACTGGGAATGGTGGGGTGTTGGGCCATAAAGAGCTGTATCAGCGGTTGAAGCAGTCTCGATAGAGTCAATAAGGAGACGGGATGTGGATGTTGTTTCGCATTATAACTGGCCCATCACTGGCCCATCTCAGGTTAAACATCCAGGGGCCACGAAAAAAGATGCCGAGCTTCTTTGGCAGTTTCAGTCCTGGCCCTTCCTGAGCGCTCTGGATGCTGCCTGATCCATGGGGCTGCATCAGCTGTGGACAGGGGCTATTGAAGGGGCACAGACACCCACCCTCCCCTTACCCCCTTAGCCAACTCCTAATGACTGAGTCATGTCAGAGACATGATTAACACCAGCAGCCCAGGAGAAGCCATTCACACCGCCCCCCCGCCCCCACTCTGTTTGTGACTCTGCACACAGCACACCTGCTGAAACCACTACTCATGTAGGCAGAGCTGAGCACATGAGTGAGGGTCTGACACACAGGAGTCCTGGTAAGAGACTGAGGCCCAGATTCCCGGGGGAGGGGGCAAGTGGGACAATTTGCCCCAGGCCCTGGATCCCTCAGGGACCCCGCGGAGCGACTGACGTGCCCCCCGCTGCCAAAATGCTGCCAAAGACCTGGACAGCTGTCGGGTGAGTACAAGCGCCGCAGCTCCCCCACTTTGCCCCAGACCTCCTTAAACCTCTGGGCGTCCTTGTTCTCCTCCCCTCTGTTTGCCCTGCTGCAGGGTTGAAATGGTCCTCAACTCCCCCACAGCGGCCCAGCTAGCTCCTATCCCAGCCCAGCCCATTTAGTGTAGGGTGACCACCTTTCCAAAAAACAAAAGCAGATCATATGCAGGATCCACATCCCCACATTGACCCCGTTCCTGCTCCTCCTCTTCCCCTGAGTCCCCTTCCTCTTCCCTATCTGTTCCCCAAGCCCCACCTCCTGCTCCTCCTCTTTATCTGAGCTCCGCCCCCCCTCCAGGCCCAAGGTCAGAGACCAACTGACCTAAGAGCTGCCCAGGGAGCCAGAGCCACTGTATGGAGCCCCAGACCCCCCTCCTGCCATGGGCAAGTAGCTGGGGGCCCCGAGAGCAGCCCCCAGCCTGTGACTCTGCCCCCCAGGATGCATCCCCTTAGGGAAGTTGTAGAGTTTGAGGCTCCCCACAGAGGCCTGGTATTCCAGGGCAGCTCTTACCACAGCCCAGCTCTGGTCTGGCCAGGTAGCAGAATCTCAGGGGTAGTGGAGGTGCAGGGGAAGGGCCTAGTAGGAAGTGATGGGGACAGGGGTCAGGGTGTCAAGGGAAGAGATTGGGCAGCTTATGTGGCAAGCCTGATCCCAGCCAGCAGGGTGGCGGGGGGCTCTTGAGTAAAGGAGGAGGGTGGGCCTGCGGGGTAGGAGACCTTGTGTTTTGGAGAAGACTGAATAAATGCGACCCCACAAAGGGGGCTCTTGTTTTAAGAATCCCAGGCTGAGAGGCAGTTATTGCAAGGACTTTAGAGATAATGGCAGGGCCTCTGCAAGGCCCAAGGAATCACTCTGGGGTGGCCCCTGTGTGCAGGAACTTGGTCAGAGTGTGCCATGCTCTTGGAAGCCGTTACCGCTGGGTGGAATTCCCCACAACCCCCAGGCTGCTCTAAACTCTGCTGAAGCAGGGGGAGAACAAGCCAGTGAATCAATCCTCTGTAACATGCTCCTTGCTTTCCCCACTCGCTGAGTCCATCCGGGCCTGTTACCTCTCAGATGGCTGGAATGCTACCTGTGGTCTGTGCATTGCTCTGTGACTCAACAGAACTGGGTTTGATTCCTTTCCCCTGTGTGACCATGTGCCATTGGCTGTCTCTGAGCCTCTGCACAGGTGGGTAATAACCCTGCCCTGTCTCACAGTGGTGGTGGGAAGATATATACACTCAATGTGCTAATATTCTCTCACTAGGGAGCCACATGAGACCCTAAGATCAGGGTGTGACTCTACTTCCCATATTCTTCATAGAAATATTGTTATAAGATGATTATAGCATATCTAGGATGTATTTTATGCAAGATGAATCACGTAAGGTATCACTGGAAAGATTATGATTTACTGACTATGATTATATTATTTGTATGTATGTATCATTTCTGCCTCTGAAGTTAGGAATATTGACTAGGTAACAATTACAACTGTGTTTAGACCTGGAGAACACCCACCAGATATTATGCAATCAGCCTGGATGGGCCATTAGGGAGAAAAATAGGAGTTTGAACATGCTAATCTTGCACCTTCCTGAGAAGCTTCCTGGGATGCTGTTTTGACCCTTACGTGGTCCAAGGCCGACTGCCCCGCCTCTTCATGGGGTTCTGCTGCAGCCTTCACCACAAGCCGCTTCACTCCACCAACCGCTCTGCTCCTCCAGCCATCACACAAACTGCTCCGCTCTGCTCGCCAACCCGTGGGCCGCACCAACCATCCTACAAACTGCTCCTCTCACCCTCCCATGGGCTGCACCAACCATCCCACAAACTGCTCAGCTCTGCTAGCAATAAAACTTCAGGCTCCCCCCCTAGTTAACACAACACTCAGTGATTTCAGCTTGTAGTAGAGAAGCCCCAGTGCTGGTGCACTATTTGCCCAAAGTGCACTCAGCATACCAGCCTGAAATTAGATCTTAATAGAATCAAAATTAGCTCTGCTATTCAACAATGGAGAGAGAAAATAATGCAATTGTTGTTTCAGGCCCTCAAAAGGGGGCCAAGACCATCAGGTACAAACATCTGTCCCCAGCCTCTCACCATTCACTGGGTTTTGTAACCCATGCCCCTTGTCTAGCGAGTGCTACTTAGGTAATGGTGAGTTCCTCTGTCATACAACAGTTCCACTGGCCTTGATTCACAGAATCAGGGTAACAAAACTTTATTCTTTATTCTTCCGTCCCCAATAACAGAGAAACTGGGGACCCCACACCAGCCAAAGTAACCACTTTCAGTTGCTGTGGGCTCATGCTAGGCTGGTGGGTGTGCTTATGCAAACAAGCTCAGTCCCTGGAATTCTTTTCCACACTCGCGGTAATTCATCACCAGATGTCAGGGTAGAGCTCATCCTGACTCTGCTTACATCCAACCCCCAACCGAGAATTTATCGCCCCGACAAATCACACTCCCTATTATACCAACTAACTGGTTCCCTCCAAAAGGCCTCAGATAGCCCACTTTAGCTTCCACAAGTCTGTGTGCTAAACCTATTGGTTCCTCACTAATCACCCCAGGTGCATCATATGTCAACTGTTTTACTGGTCTTATTACCCTGTCTCGTCTATTGAGAATCTCTGTTGCCATGGTAGGGGGGACAGCCTCTTGAGCAACGGATGGAGAGGTTTCCTTTGAGGGCGCCTCGGCTACTGGCATAGTCTCCTGCATTTCTAGTTCTAACAGTGGAGGGTCCAAAGTGCCCAGGACATCCTCCACCTGTATGTCTCCACTGTCCAATAACTTGTATTTGTCATCACATGGGGTCCCCACCAGTGGCTCAGGGGTGTCAGGAATGGGCCTAAATACTTCTGCCATGGGGTTTAGGGCGGAAGAGGAGGAGCTCACTTTTGAGTCAGCTGATCGAGACTGAAATCTTGTCTCCATCCCAGCATACACCATGGTTGTGTCCTCCTCCTCAGACTGATTCTTGGATGTGCTGCATAGGGGTAGGTTAGCTGCAGGGGGCCGGCTGTCCATGTTGGAGGGCAGCTTTGGTCCAGCACCTTCGTTCTGTCCGGTTGCCCTGTTGTGGCCCATCTCATAAGGGGTGCCTACCAATTCCCCCACAGGGAGTAAAAGGTTTCTATGCACTGTCTTTGTCTGCCCGGGACCCTCTTCAGGTTTGATCTTGTAGACCAGCAGGTCTCCTAGCTTTTCCATCACCAAGTAAGGTATTGCCTTCCATCTGTCAGCTATCTTGTGTTTGCCAGCAATACCCAAATTTCGCAGCAGGACTCTGTCCCCCGGCTGGAGTTCTTGCAGATATACCCTAGCATCATATTGATGTTTGTTGCAGTCTGCGTTCTTCCGAGTCGCGGATGTAGCTAAGTGATAAGCATCCCACAGCTTTTCTCTTAGTCTGGATACATATTGCTGATGAGTTTCATAGCTATCTCCATCCTCTGATACACCAAAGCACAGGTCTATGGGTAATCTTGGTTTTCGCCCAAACATCAAGAGATATGGGTTGACTCCCGTAGGGTTGGTCTTTGTGGCATTGTAGGCGTGCACCAGAAATGCGACATGTTGGCTCCAGGTTGCCTTCTGCTCTGGCCGCAAAGTCCCCAACATATCTAATAGGGTTCGGTTGAACCTCTCTGGCTGAGGATCACCTTGTTGGTGATAAGGCGTTTTTCTAGACCAGGGGTCGGAAACATTTGGCATGCGGCTCGCCAGGGTAAGCACCCTAGCGGGCCGGGCCAGTTTATTTACCTGCTGACGCAGCAGGTTCGGCCGATCGCGGCCCCCACTGGCCGAGGTTCACCGTCCTGGGTCAATGGGGATGGCGGGAAGTCGTGGCCAGCACATCCCTCGCCCGCGCCGCTTCCCGCCACCCCCATTGGCCCGGGACGGTGAACTGTGGTTAGTGGGGGCCGCGATCGGCCAAACCTGCCGCGTCAGCAGGTAAATAAACTGGCCCGGCCCACTAGGGTGCTTACCCTGGCGAGCCGAGTGCCAAACGTTGCCGACCCCTGTACTAGACTTTTTAATCCCCACTATCCTCAGCACCTCCTTCAGAAGTTGACTCTCAAAGTC